TAGTAGCCTACACGGTAGATTAACATGTTGCTAGAAAGGTGGGGATGGATGGAAGGTACGTAGACATTCTACATCTGAATCTGAGGACCTCGAGGTCCAGAGAGAAGTTTGTTTCAGGTCACTCTGCATAGTGTCATGGCCAGGACCAGATCCCCGTCAGCAGCTTTGCTAGTTCAGCATTCCTTTTAGCACACCACAGTTTCCACACTGGTTCCACTATGAGGCCAGTCTCCCACACAGTCTTTCTGCAGAATATTTTCCCTTTTCAGTTAAACTTTTTAAAAAAAGAATGATTTATTATGATGATTATTATTTTAATTTATCCAGAGAGAGGTAGTGAGAGCGAGCGAGCAAGTGAGCCACCAGGTCCAGGACTTGAACCAAAAGAGAGAGCAAGAGAAAGTAAGCCATCAGGTCCAGCATCCCAGCCAAAAACTTGATTCCACTTATTATCGTTGTATAGACAGGAACAGTGACCGAAAAATATTACTTACCACTAACTTATTTAATTCTTAAGCATAAATATTCAGTTTTTACTTAGTAGCAACCTTTATATTTAGAAGTTTTATCTGTCTCTTTTTTTTTAGAAATCTGCTTTGAGTCTCTTCTTTGTGATCATAATCAAGCCATTGTTATTTCTTGGCAGATATTAAACACTTATTTTATATCCTGTGACAGTTCTGGTACTTAATATTTTTATGAATCTGAATGTACTATCTGTATTTCTGCTGGCTCTTATTCATGGTGCTTTGTTGGCTTGTGTGTGTATGAATTTTTTTTTTTTCCCTGAGCGGTTTTTTGCTATAGGGTGCGTGCACTCGCCAGAAAAAGAGACATTTTTATCTGCTCTCACCCCCCAGTGGGGATGGCCATGCCACAATCCCTTCTCCTCCATTCTCCTCTCAGGATCTTGAGCATGTGCACACGCGCCTGGTGTGAGTTTAAACCACTGGGTCTGGGACTTGAACTGCGGTCGACATAGTCATTATGCCAACTGTTGGTCCTGGGAGAGAGATTTTTGACACTGTTTTAGGAACATTGTGACTCTTCTGCCCCAGTCTCCCATTTAGACAGACTATGCCTTTGAACAGTTACTTTGGACATGGAGGAGGCATAACCAGAGTCTAGAGATTCAAGCCTTGAGCTGGACCACACACATTCCAAGCAGTTTAGAAAGATATGTTACTTTTTATCCAGGGCTTATTAATTTTCATCTTGGGAAGTTTCTACTTATTACTTTAATAGTAGGAGGAAACTGAGAGCAAAGCCCTTCTAGAATATCCCTGCTCAGTTTTCCATCTCTCTTTTCTGTCAGATTTTGGGCACACACAGACACCCAGTAGCATCACGGTAGATTCACATTGTGTTTTTCAAGCTTCTAGGGCCAGGAGTCTCCCCGCAGTTGGCCATGTGCTCCCTGAACCATTAGCCCACAGCCCAGCCTAGTGTGATGAGTTCTGCAGAGAATGTCTGGAATCCACGCTGTAGGAATGCTCCCTTTGCATTTGCAGTAGGGTATAGTGTGCTAGGATATGCCTGGTGTAGAGCTATGGTAAGGTGAATTCTATCCTTTCTCTGTACTTTCCATTTTTATCTGCTCTCCTCCCTCCATCAATAACCACAGTTCCTCAAGCTGTTGGGTTGTGTGACTTGGCATGAATTGTTGGCTTGGACTTCCTGGAGTTTTGTGTTAATATAGCAGTGCCTTCAGAAGCTTTGATAAATGTGATTGGAAATGATAGAATGTTTAGAGATTGCCTCATCTTTCAATTTCCGGAGGAGCTTTAGCTATGAAAATATTCATGTCAAGGCTTACTCGAAAGCCCAACAGATAAACCTGAAACTGGGGGTTTTGAACATGATTGAATATTCTCATCCTTTTAATTTGCAAATGAAGGTTCTGAAATCCAGAAATGTTAAGCAAGGCCAGTCATCTGAGTCTCTTCCCTCTTCATCCCTCTGGGCTGCTCTTCCCTGACCTCCCGGTTGGGATGCAGCTCTGCTTTGTTAGGGTTTGGGGAGGCTGGTGATTGCCTCTGGGGGCTGCTCTGTGGAATTGGCTCTCGGCTGTCCAACGGAGGACATTCTGTTTTTTGTATTAGAGCTGTTTCTTTCTTCTGATGGTTTTTTCCCCCTCCTCTTCTCATTTGCTAGCTTTTGCCTGGAGCAGATCAGATTTATTACGATGAATAACTAATGAGAGTAGGTAGTTTATTTTCTTTGTGATTAAAGGGAAGGGGGAGAAGAGAGCCAACATTTTTGGGCCACCTGTGCCTAGTGCCTAGGCACTGCCAGCCGCCTTACAAAAGTTAAAACCTAGCTAAATTGTAACCATTCTGTAAAGCAGTTGCTGACATTGTTCTCGTACAGTTAGGAAACTGAGGCTGTGAACGGCTAATATTTAAAACTGGTGTGGAAGTCTAGGGGGTAAGAGCGGCTAATATTTAAAACTGGTGTGGAAGTCTAGGGGGTAAGGAAGGGCTTTCGAGAGGTGTGAAAGTCTAGGGTATGTAGGGCTCAGTGGACGTCCAGGTAGGCAGCTCACAGGCTGTGTAGCGTGTGATTAGTTTCTGGGAGAGTGTTCATGTGGTGTTCTGTGCTTAGTTCCTCTCAAGGGCCAGAAAGGCTGTCCTAGGGTGTGTGTGTGTGTGTGTGTGTGTGTGTGTGTGTGTGTGCTGGTATCTTATTGTTCTGTTAGGTTGTTGGGAAACTCATTGCACATTTTTACATAGAAAACCAGAAAAATACATCATGACTTTCCTGACTACCTAATAGAGTAGATGTAAGAGGTTGTATTTGAGATGATGCCACCTTTATCTTTCTGTGTTTTTTTTTGGGGGGGCGGGTGGGTGGGATGGAGAGCAGGAACAGGTTATAATTAATTTCGATAAACCAACATCAGTTTAAATTTTTACAGCAGGTGGTAGAAATCTGGGTTTATTGATTATTTTTGATATGTGTAAGGAAATTTTGCAACAGGGGAGATTGAGCTGGCAGGGCTGAGATTCAGGATTTGCAACGTTCCCAGCAGTTCTGTTCAGTGGATTGTGAGGTTGCTTAGGTTATAAAATGTGGATTGGTATCCAAATGTAGAAACACATCATACCTATTACCTAATAATTATATTAAGATCTTACCCTAAAGCAGAAAACTAATTCCTAAGTTAAAAATGTTAGAGTATTGAGTACACACAAGTGCTGGTTCTAGAGGAAATGTCTTGTTTGGGGGTTTGACCTTCAACTTACCTGTACCTGTGAGCCGTCTTGACCTAGCAGGAGATTGAGGATGCAGTGTCACCTCCATTCCAGGTTCCCAGGTTCAGGAATCAAGTTTAGAATGAAGGCAGCAGGTGTGGGATTCTGAGGGTTGATGTGTTATTGACCATACTCCCAGTGTGGCTGATTGTGTGTGTTGTACTGTGTAACTCTTCAACATGACAGTGGGTTCTTTTCCCAGTTAACCAGTTATATTGTATTTATCTGGTAGTATGTTTTCTTGAGAGTTTTCAAAGCAAACATATGCAGCATTATCAGGTTGCCAGAATTACCTTCAGTCCTTTCGGAGTCCATGAGTGGTTTCTCTGTGTGACCACCCACTTTGGGCTTCAGTTCCCCTCCTTCCTTTCACTGGTTCTTCAGGGACTTCAGGTGCACAGGATTGAGTTGGTCATGGTTCTGAGACCCTGATGTACTGCTATTTTTGTGCCTGGCTCTGCTTTTGTTGGATTTAATTTTTTTCTTTCTTGTCCTCCATCCCTAATTCCACCTCCCAGCCTCTGCCCAGCACTCCCTTCTGTATATTTAATGTATTCCTCTGTAATCCACTTCCCATGTGCTGTTTTTTGGATATATACTCATGATGGTGTTTCTTGTTAATCCCTTTGTCTTCATTTAACATTATATTTTAGAGACTTATCCATGTTTCTGTATGTGAATCTATTTCATTTATTCTGCCTTGACCACGCAGATGCTGTCATGTTTTATACACCTGTTTCCCCCATGGCGGAATCATCTATACTGCTTCAGCTCTACAGTCATGGGTGATGCATGATCATTTTCTGGTCACCTTCTGTTCCATGTGAGGGCAGAATTGTTGGGCCACTGATTGTGTGCATATTTAGTCTCTCAGAGTTTCAGCTCTTAAAGATGGCTGCTTTCAGATTACACTCCTTGGGGTACACAATTCAGCTGGAGCTTTCAGAGATTTATTCCTTAGGAAAAGGAACACAGCATGGAGGTATTTTCTTGATCTAGGTTTGGCTCTGTGAGAAAGTTCCTGAAAATTAGTTTTTAGTCATGATTAAAAGCCTTTAGTCTTCAGAGTCATCCGTTCTCTTTTTCAACAGAGTGAGGTAATAAGAATAGATCATCTTTTTTTTTTTTTAAGAATTATTTTATTTAACTTTATTCGAATTTGCTGGGGGCGGGGGTGGGTGGGCAGAGAGTGAGTGAGTGCGCCACCAGGTCTGGGACTCAAACTGCGGTCTGCCATGTGGGAGTCTAGCATTCTTAACCACCATGCCACCTGCGGCCCCAGGAATAGGTAATCTTTTAAAGGATGTCTCTATAATGCCTTTATAATTGAGAAATTATGAAAATACTATAAACATTAAGATTTTTGATTTTCGTTTTATAGGGCGCCAATGCCTCGGCATTAGAGAAAGAGATTGGTCCAGAACAGTTTCCAGTCAACGAGCACTATTTTGGATTAGTCAATGTAAGTATCCATTCATACTTAGCTTTCAGAATCACATTTGGAAGCAGCTTGAAAAAACGAATGCATTTCATAATTTGTTACAGAAAAATTTGCTTATTTGTATTGTTAGAATTAAATGTCAAGAGACTTGATTTGTAATTTTAAAGTGATTTTTTTAATAAAAGGAAGACAAAGTTACCCGAAGTCTTAAGGGTCTTAGAACAGTTTATGCTCGTCAGGTCATTTTCTCTATTTTATGTTAAAAATTTCTCATAACCAGAAGTTTTATATGTAGCCTAGACCAAGGATCTCTCATTTCTTAGAGAATTATTTAAATAGAAGTGGTACCAGTGAGCAAGTATAAATATAACTGTACAAATGCCTCCATGTGTCAGAGGGTATTTGTTCCTGCTGGCAGCGCACCAGTGCTATACATAGATGTGAAAATATAAAATAGAGGGAAAGACAGCCCAATCCACGTGGAGCCAATTTTAGGAATTATTACTTTGGAAGAACTTTAGAATTTTAAACTCTGAGTCCTATCTGTTCTGAATTATAGGAGAAACCACAGATCTATGTTATAAAACAGAACGTCACAATCGTACAATACCGTTGTCCTATACCGTAACTAGGTAGATCCATAGCAGATGTTTTTAAAGCATGGGTGATAAAGGTAACATGGTGGGTTGTGTTGAACAAGTTGGTTGTCACTGAGTATTAGTATGGAATTAACGACCTTAGAGGTGGACTTCTCGTGTGATTTGAGGGAAGCAGGTGAAGTGATTGCTGGTCCTTGGGCTGGGGACCGTGTCTGTGTGCACTGCACATTAACCTTATTATAAAGAGTCAGCAATCCCTTGCCCTGCTCTGCTCCTCCCTGGAACAGGCGACATACACATTATTCTTCTAGCTGTTTTTCCTGGATTTCACCCTTCCATTCTAAATAAATGCCTGTACTGCTTTCTAAAAACTCTGTTGACTTTGCATTAGGGTAGACAGTGAATTTAGCTCTCTCTTTCTGTATTACCCTCCTTTCCTTACTGCACTCTCTCTTGTTCTCCCAATATACTTATATCCACAATTTTTAGTTTAACCTGTGTTCAGTCTTTTTGTTATTATAACTTTTGTAGATGCTGTTTCCAGGTGAGTCAGTTATACTGTGACTAACCTTTCTTTCCTTTTGTGTAACTTTGTTTGCCTGGAATTATTTAATTTTCAATTATTTTTCCCCAGGTCTTCAGCAGAACTAAAAAACAAAAAGACCTTTTCACTCCTAGTTTCCAGAGTCCTAGATAAACTTAGATACATTGTGTATTCAAAATTATTTGGTTATTGTTGCTGCTAGATACTGCTCCTTTCTGTACATGTTCAAAGAATTGGTCTGTTGGGACCAGCAGTTAACATAATGGCTATGTTGCTGGACTCCCATGTAGTTGACCACGGTTCGAGTCCCGGATGCGGTAGCTTAAACTCATACCAGGCGCATGTGCGGGCTTGCCCAAGATCCCAAGAGGAGGAGAATGGAGGAGAAGGGATTGCAACATGGCCATCTACCCTGGGGGGGGGGTGATTCCTCTT